TGGTGCCGTCGTAGCGCGTGCCGCCGCCGCCTGGGCAAGCGCGGCCTGCACGATCTCCTTAGAGCGAATGAGAGACAGGAGCTCTCGGGCCTCTCCCTCATCAGACAGATCAACCCCACTATCCCCTAAAATACTACCAAGGCACTCATCCGAGTAATCGTCGAAAATCGTAAAACGGGGTAGGGGGTTACCTTCGGTCTCCATGTTCTTCTGGGCCAGCAAGAGTTGCGCACGTTGGAGAGCAGGGAGGTTGCCCTTGGCGCCATTTGGCCGGGAGCTGACCCGTTCCTGCGCCACCGGGGTCGTCACCACCGCCTTGGAGCGCTTGGCCGTGGAGATGGGAGTCGCCTTGGTCACCTCCGCCCGGAGAGAGTCGGAGGGAGGCGGGGGATCCGTCGGCCCGTGCCCCCCGACCGCACCGCCAGGGAAGCCAACGCCATCACCGCCGTCCGGTGCGAAACGGGCGTGCCCGCCCGCACCGAGGGGGGACTCGTTGGCGCCACCGGGGGGGTCTTGCGGCCCGCCGTGTTCTTATGGAGCCGCCCCCCACCAATCGCCAGACCGCGCACGGGCGTGAGAAGCCCGCCTTCTTCCGCAGCCGGGGAGATGAGCATGGAACGGCCCTCCGAGTCGCACAAAGCCGAGGTGCCCTTGTCGAGGTCGAGGCCGAGGGACATGTTGGAGCCGTATTGATTGAAGCCCGTTTCGTTGCTGCCCACACCAACTTGACACTCCTCCAGGTCCTTCGCAGCCCCCGCAGACGGGGCCACGGCCTTCGAAGTCTTGTCCTTGAGGCCCAGCTTATCCCAAGTCGCAGTGTCAATGGAGTCATCCCCCATGCTCACGTCCTTCTCCTTGTCCATGTCCTTGTCCATGTCATCAGGGCCCTTGTCCTTGCTAGCCGGGGGAGGGGGAGGGGGGGCACCTCCCAGCCTGCCACCCGCCTCGGCCTCCATCCGGATGGTAAAGCCCTTGCTGTTGAACCAGATTTGAACAAACCCTTTGATCTTGTCCGGGGAGCGACACGCAAAACGCATCCGCACAGGACCCAGCCCCGCCAACGACGCCTTGTCCACTTCCATCGGGCGCCCGATCATCACAGTCCCCGCCATGAGACGGTCCACGCGGCGATGCTTGGGTGGCACTCCCCAAAGTTTGACCCACACATCCGGCATGATTTCGGCCTTGGGAGTCTCCAGAACAGCTTCCTTGATCTCTGCCATGATGTCGTTGAGGGAGAGGTACAGCTTGCCACTGCGCGTCGCCATTCGCAGCATGGCCTTGTCGGGAAAGACGACGGAGAACAAGTCGTCCCCGACGTCCACCACCTGCCAGTCCCAATCCCCTTCGAAGAGGTGGGGGAGTTCCGCCTCCAAGATCGAGACTGACAGCTTGCCCGGTGCCGCCGAGATGAGCGCCGCGTCCGCCACCGCCGGGGCACTGACCTCCTCGCCCGCCGACTCCACGAAGGGCAGGCAGAAGAAGCCCTCGCCGGGGATGGCGTTGCCCATGATCTGCATCTGCAGAGGCCGACCGTGCGTGGGGCAGTGTGCCGATGCGTGCCCCTCCTCGTGGCAGACGACACACAGAGGCTTGAAATGGCACATATTCTGGTAATGGCCCACCCTCCCGCATGTGAAGCACTCTGGCCCATCGAGTTCCTCCACTGGTATCGGGGCGTCAGCCGAGCCCTTCGACGCCGACGGCCCGGCAGCCAGCAGTGGGAGCGCCGAGCCTGCCCCCTTCTGCTTCTGCTTCTTGGCGAGAGGATCCCCAGCCCGCTCGCCGCTCAGAGGAAGGAGGGATTCCTTCCTCTTGAGCTCCTTCTTCTGTTCAAGCCCACGGCGCCGGTACTCCTCTTTCTTCTTCCTTTTGCACTCACGCTCTTCCTCCTTCTTCCGCTCTTGCTCCGCAAGCCACCAGGGAGGCGGCGGCCCCCAGCCCGCCTCGCCCGCCGGCGGCGACGAGACCTTGGCGAGCGCCTTCGCCCGCAGATCTTGCTCGCGTTGCCTCTCCGCCGCCGGGATCGGAGGCGACATGGGTGGCTTCTCCACGCGGCGGGAGCCCATCCTCACCGCGGTGGCGAACGAGCGAGTGAGTGGAGGTGGAGAGGCGGAGCGGCGCAGGCGACGCGCGCGATGCCCGAGCCGCCGCACCTGCGAGGGGGATGCGAGAAACCCTAGCGACAGATCTAGGGCACCCTTCGGCAGCCACAACCACCTATAAATAGGCTGGGGCGGCCGCTCATCCCCCGTCGCGATGGGCCCAGGCCTCTTCCCTTGCGGGCCTGAGGCGGCCGGGCCAGGCCGACCAGGCCCAAGCACAGGGGGGCGCCCCTGCGACCCTGCTGGCGCTGGCACACTAGGTTCGACCACTGGGCCTCCCGGCCCGCTAACAGGCAAACTGGGCCATTCCGACAAGCCCAGCAAGGCGTCCGGCCCGGGCGCTGCCAACGCCGAAACCCTAGCCGCGGGCTGCGTCTCCCTTGCAGAGTCCGCCCCGCCGCCGTCGTCGACCCCTGTCGACTCCGGCGAGCACGCCGCACCTGCTGGCGGCGCGACCAACGTTAGATCGAGGCGCGCCACCGCCGGCCGGGCATTCGAGCGCCCCTCCGGGCCCGCGTCCACACCCCTTGGCGGGCGCCAGATCCACGGGGCCAGTCCACGACCGCCGCGTCCACCAGGGGCGAACGCGCGCCGGCGACCTGCCATGAGAGAGCCCCCCAGCTCCTCCGCTCAGGCGACAAAGTCACCCACCGAGCACCCCGCACGGGGCCTCGGCGAACCACCACCGCCACCTGCACTTACCTCACTCCTTACCTCGTCGTCGTCGTCGTCGGAATCGCACCCCACCAGAGCCCAGAACCTGCTGCCGGAGAGGGACGGGGCAGGGGGCCCCGCCCTAGGCGGCGAGCGCCGCCACGGGCACCCCGGAGCGGGCCGCACCTCCGTCCAGCCATCCGCCTCCGCCGCGGGGCCGCGGGCGGCGTCGCCCCCCGAGTCGCCCCCCGGGTCGCCAGACCGAAGCGCCATCTCGCATCTCTTCGTAGATCGTGTAGTTATTCGGCTCTGTATCTCAATGTGCTCATAGGGATATGATATGCGAGCGCGTGTGCATTCATAGGAGTGAATGTTGTGTGTATGCATGTGAATGTCTGTATCTATACTATGTTTCTAAAAGGAAAAGAGCCAGTGCATTGGAAGTGTCTTGACAACGGATATGGAGTTTCTCTGCTTGCGAGTTCAAATACTTCCTCGTCACTAATAAATAAAAAATATATAGTAAACTAAATTAAAAGAATCTGATTATTTTGCAACAAACATTGACGATTTGTCTATACGTGTAAACATTTTCATGAAGATAAAACATTCCTAAATGGCCTCGGCAGAAAAAACAAAATTGATGCTCTAAAAGGATTATTTTTTAAAAGCATTTGAAAGCATTGATTCTTTTACCGAACATTAGTTATGTTTTTTCTTCAAAAAAATTGCACATATATAGCCAATTATTCAATATTTGTTGCCAAAATAAAATATAGTTTTTTTAAAAATATTTCTTCATTTTACTGTTCACTTCAGGTACATTTGAGCTCGTGAGCAGAAAAACACTTTCTCTTAACAAAGTATTTTAACACTTCTACATGAAGCGGGGGAGGATTTGTAACACGCAACCCAAAAGTCTAAATTAAGTTCCGTTTTCATATTTGTGTTTCTATCTTTCAATTTTCAATCTTTTCTATCTTTCGATTCGTGTAGCGTGAGAGGCTTTCGATTTTCAATCTTCCCTATCTTTTGAATCAAAAATTTAAATTAAGTTTTGTTTTCATATTCATGTTTCTGGTGACAAGGCCTTTCAAATGAGATTCATTTTAAATACGTTTTGACGAGTTTTAAAAGTTTCTTTAAGTTTCAACTTCTGAAACATGTATGTGCGACCGACAAAATCATTTGTTTTAGAACCTACAGCCAACAAAATAGCAAGCTTTAAGTTTCAACTTTGAAACTTGATACGAGTGACTGAAAAAAATCATAAGTTTCAGAAAATAAAACTTGTTATACCCTCGTGCGGGAAACCACGACTTTTTGGGTCGTGACTCGTGAGGCCATCATGCAGCTGGCGCTGCTGGGCAGGTGCGCGTCCTTGCGAATTTCCGTACATGAAGCTACATCATTATATTTGCAAAAATAATAAACCTTACAATTTAGGTACGACAAAACGAACCAGCCGCTAAAGCATCATGTACAGCTTTTATACTTGCACCGCAAAGAGCACACTGAGAGCCATGATCAGGCCAGCCCCCAAACTGGCTAGATTTAGAGTAGAATCCGAAGTACTGGTACTCGTCTCGTCATCGGAAGCACCGGTTTCCGACGGCGTGGAGACGTTCTTTGGGTGGCTGAAGTCGAAGGCCGGCGCCCTGTCGGCGCTGTCGGGTCCGGCTGCTGGCCCTGGCGCGTCGGCCACCGGCGGCCTGAGGTCCGGCGGGAGGCCTTGGCCGTGTGCGACGGCTATGGCGAAGCGCTGGCCGTTCTCGCACTGCTCGCCGTCGTAGTTCCCGGAGAAGAAGTACGTTCTGCCCTCCTTGAGCAGTGGCACGGCGGCGGTGACGGCATCCTTGCTGAACTCCGGCGCGGCGGCGGACCAATCGACGGTGTCGTCGAGGCCGGAGTCGTCGTAGTCGCAGCTCTTGTACAGGGTCTCGTTCCGTGTCTGCACCACCGAGTGATTCTTGTCCGTGTTGAATACTGCATCACGACGGACACGCGAAACGGTTAGTTTAACTTTTGCAGCGTGAGAAACGGTTGTACGAGCTGGGAAAACAGAGGCCGTGATAGTAGTTGATAATGGCCATCGGTTGCTGTAAAAAGATGAATGATCAATGATTGACAACAGATGTACACCGTCGTTTCTACTATAACTGTTCGTGACTGGCAAAGCGACCAGGCAAATGGAGCATGATGTTGCACCTTTCACCCACGAGCTAGCCATGTGCACGTACAGGGAAACCGATGGATAAACGCAGCTGCTTTCGATACCTAGCTAGGGGCCACGCTAATTGAGCGTCGAGAAGAGCAGAGAAGTCTCACAGGCCGACTGAACTTGGCAAAGCGAACGTGGGCCTTAAAACTAGAGACTTCATGGACGATGCGTACAAGGTAATAAGAGCGATCGATGGATGCAGCTAGAGCATGCGACTGTGTGTATACTCACTGAGAAAATCTCCGAGGGTGAAGTTGTAGCCTTCGGCCCAAGCCTGGTAGTCGACCGCGAGGCCGTCGTACCAGCCCTTGTCGTCGCCGACGGTGTAGTTCTTGTACGCGTCCACGGCGGCGCGCGGGTTAGCGGCGCCCAGGACGGCCACCGCCAAGGCGACGACGAGGACGCGCCGGCTGCAAAGCTGCAGCATCGCGCGCGATCCGAGTGGCCGCAAGAGAACTGATGATAAGAAGCTAGGGCCGAGCTGTTGCCGCGGGAGAGATGCTCTTGTGACGGCCGACAATGCGCCGTGGGCTGGCTAGCTGCGCATATATCTTTCGGGAGTTGGGAGCTGGGAACTTTATAGCCAGACTAGAGCACGCACTGATGGAGTGGTGGGGAGGGGAAGCATATATTTTCATGGCGTGCAGTGCTGGCGCGGTACCATGTGTGTCGGCAGGGCAGCGAGGCGGTTGCTTTGCGTCCATCTGGTGGCATGTGAGACTGATGAATGGTGATGAAGACCGATCTCCGTTTCTGTTGCGGCGTCCTGTCACCGCACCCGATGCGCGCCAGCCGGCCAGCTCCAGTTCCAGTCCCCTCCCCCCACGACGGCAGACATTGTTCTCCAATTCATCACTCGTACACGTAGTAGTATAACTATAGTGCGTGCTATGACGCGTGTAGCAGAAAAGAAGGATAAAATTAGAGACGAACGAATAAAGGTCGCCATCAGCATAGGCTTGACCAGCAGCTCTACTTGTCTGATTGTACAGTGCTCCATCTTTTAGTGCGTGTCCTAATTATTATATACTCCTACAATATCTTTACGAGGACAACTAACATAACATGTAACCAAATGATTGCCAGTTCTTGTGAGTGACCAAGTGCTTTCTGTTGGCCAATCGGTCCGACTCCAGGTGGCGTATCTGACTTCACCACTATTATGTTTTCAGGATTAAAAAGGGTGGAGAGATGGCTGGACTATGACAGCTAACCATCTAACGGTTATCCGTGATTGTTCAATTCAACCAAGGGCCGGTTGATGCCGATACCCCATCTGCCATATCGGCTATTCGACTGGAAAGTATCAATGACAACATTTATCATATCAAAATTGATAGGCTTGATTTTTTTTTTCTGAACAAAGAAAAGATTTGTCATTTTCATTAACCATGAGGAAGAGAGTTGACTAGTTCATTAGCAAAAAACTGAAGAAGAAAAAAGTGACACCTCGCTATTTGGCATGCACAAAAAAACGCCACATACACTATTGTAGAGAGCATTGTCGAGGCTGCACTGATGTCGGTGTCATCACTTCTCCTGAAGCAAGCTAGGCCGATTTCACCATAATGACCACCGACAAGCTAACACAACAAAGATCAAAGCAACATGAAGATCCATGCCAAGCGATTAGCCACACACGCTAGCAGCTAGGCAGCTCTGGATCCAAAAACGATCAACAACGAAGAACAACGCTAGGTTGGTGCCACAAAAGATCCTCAACTGCGGCACTTGTAGAATGTCATCGTTATTGTAGGGACCACTCCACCCTGCAGCTCCAACTCCACCACAACAAACAGACCACAACGGCCCTATGAATACACCCAAGAGTGGGCTACCGCAATCTTGCCACATCCCCTCCCTCACTCATCCATACAGTCGGTGCCACATGCGTCACCAATGGCCAATCACGAGTTCCCCCAATCGGAACCAACTCCAGAACAGTGTCCCCAATAGGAAAGTAAGGCACAAGTGTTGCCACCTTCTGACCCGGAAATACCATGTCGGTGTTTCGTAAATCAACAATGTTGTCGAGCAACAACGAGTTTGTTTAGAGGAGCGTGTGAGCAACCAATCGAGATGGTAAGGTGAGACAAGGAGTTTACCCAGGTTCGGGCCTTCCAGAAGGAGGTAAGACCCTACTCGTGATTTTTGTATTTGTATTAATCGAGTGCTCACCAGCGATTGAGAGGATCACCAGAGAGAACTGTTTCTTGGGTTACAAGTTCTCAGCCTCGTAGCAGAGAGGATGGAAATGGTGGAACTTGAAAACCCTAGCTCTAGGATGATCTAAAATATTGTGGATCCTCGTCCAAGAGGATTCGTAGCACATGTTTTTTTTGAATACGCAAAGATTGTGTATCTTTTCATTGATAGAAGAAGAGTGACACCATGAGATTACATACACTCATGTAGCCATGTGCGCTAGAGGCTTGGCAATGGGTGTTCGAGTAAACAACTGAAAGGGGTTGCTCACTCCCTAATAAAATATCAAAGGGATAACTCTCGGGGATGATGTTTTTTATCCCGATGGCGCCGGCCTTGGCCCGTAGGCGCGCCTCGTCCTTCATGGTGGTGGTGAGTTGGGAGACCGATGGTTGATCGTGGTCGAAGATGCATCGTTGCAGTGTTTCCATATCCACCACGTGGTGAGGATGATGAGGGATGCAAGTCCCTTGCGAGCAAAGGCTGGCGCTTGGTCGAAAGATGTGGCCCACCAAGTCTAGAAGGATGTGGCACCGTTAGGTAAGTCAGTTGGTGCTCTCACCCAACTAAGGACTTCATGCCATATCTTCCTAGAGAAGGAGCCGTCCATAAGAAGATGTTGCATCTCCTCTGGCTCTTTGTCGCATAGGGCACAAACGTCGTCGTGAGGGAGGCCATGGCGTGCCAGATGGTCTGCCTTCCAGCAACGTTCTTACATCGCAAGCCATATGAAAAACTTGATGCGGAGCAACGCCCAATGTTTCCAGGTAAGCTTGTTATATAACTGATCGAGATAGGGTTACATAGTTTGGTCAATTTTTCGACAGGCTCATGCCCCTACATCCTCATGGATCGTGCCAGGCGTGTTGTCCATCCTTTTCGTGTCTCACAACTTGGTGCCCCACTTCGGTTATTTCTAGGCCCGAGATTCTGGCTCAACGCTCGGCCGTGGCGCCTAGGACCAGCCCGTGTCGGGGCTGGGCCCACGGTATGTGACACCTTTGTCAATAGCTCCATATTGCCGCGTGATTACTTCCTTTAGTGATCCAAAAATGGAGCAGAAAGGATTCTCGCATATTTCCCCAGAGGTGACCCTAAGTTATCGAACCCACAGGAGGACGCCCCCCTTTAAGCTAGGGTCTCTAGCAAACTTTTGTTAAGGAAACAATTCTAGCTTTTGATCAGATCAAAATCAAATAACCTTGAGCTGAACACTTATAATAATAATAGGTACGGGTATGAGGTCTCAATGCTTACAACCATGTATTAGTGTTGGGACCAAATATGATCTTAATTTGTGCACTGGAAGTCACCCATCGAGATGTGCTTATTATGAACAAAAGTGGGGGATGTGTCCAAATTATGTCTTAACGGGCACGCGTCCTGCATCAAGAGTAAGTTGTACAACCGAAGGCCCTATCCATCTTGCGGGGTTGCCTTGATACGTCCATTTTGCATCATGCTTTTATATCGATATTTATTGCATTATGGGCTGTTATTACACATTATGTCACAATACTTATGCCTATTCTCTCTTATTTTACAAGGTTTACATAAAGAGGGAGAATGCCGACAGCTGGGATTCTGGGCTGGAAAAGGAGCAAATATTAGAGACCTATTCTGCATAGCTTCAAAAGTCCTGAAACTTCACGGAAGTCAATTTCAGAATATATAAAAAAATACTGAGCGCAAGAAGTTCCGGAGGGGGGCCACACCCTGCCCACGAGGGTGGGGGCACGCCCTACCCCCTGGGCGCGCCCCCCTGCCTCGTGGCCCCCCTGGCGGCCCTCCGATGCCCATCTTCTGCTATATGGAGTCTTTCGATGAGGAAAAAATCATAAGCCAACTTTCGGGACGAGACTCTGCCGCCACGAGGCGGAACCTTGGTAGAACCAATCTAGGGCTCTGGCGGAGCTGTTCTGCCAGGGAAACTTCCCTTCGGGAGGGGGAAATCATCGCCATTGTCATCACCAATGATCCTATCATCGGGAGGGGGTCAATCTCCATCAACATCTTCACCAGCAACATCTCCTCTCAAACCCTAGTTCATCTCTTGTATCCAATTCTTGTCTCCAAGTCTAGGATTGGTACCTGTGGGTTGCTAGTCGTGTTAATTACTCCTTGTAGTTGATGCTAGTTGGTTTATTTGGTGGAATATCATATGTTCAGATCCTATATGCATATTAATACCCCTCTGATTATGAACATGAATATGCTTTGTGAGTAGTTACGTTCGTTCCTGAGGACATGGGAGAAGTATTGCTATTAGTAGTCATGTGAATTTGGTATTCGTTCGATATTTTGATCAGATGTATGTTGTCTCTCCTCTAGTGGTGTTATGTGAACGTTGACTACATGACACTTCACCATTATTTGGGCCTAGAGGAAGGCATTGGGAAGTAATAAGTAGATGATGGGTTGAAGCTTAAACCCTAGTTTATGCGTTGCTTCGTAAGGGGCTGATTTGGATCCATATGTTTCATGCTATGGTTAGGTTTACCTTAATACTTTTGTTGTAGTTGCGGGTGCTTGCAATAGAGGTTAATCATAAGTGGGATGCTTGTCCAAGTAAGGACAGTACCCAAGCACCGGTCCACCCACATACCAAATTATCAAAGTACTGAACGTGAATCATATGAACGTGATGAAAACTAGCTTTTCGATAATTCCCATGTGTCCTCGGGAGCGCTTTTCTCTATATAAGAATTTGTCCAGGCTTGTCCTTTGCTACAAAAGGGATTGGGACACCTTGCTGCACTTTATTTACTTTTGTTACTTGTTGCTCGTTACCAATTATCTTATCACAAAACTATCTGTTACCTATAATTTCAGTGCTCGCAGAGAATACCTTGCTGAAAACCGCTTATCATTTCCTTCTGCTCATCGTTGGGTTCGACACTCTTACTTATCGAAAGGACTACGATAGATCCCCTATACTTGTGGGTCATCAAGAATCTTTTCTGGCGCCGTTGCCGGGGAGTGAAGGGCCTTTGGTAGGTGGAATTTGGTAAGAAAAAATTTATATAGTGTGCTGAAATTTACTGTCACTTGTTACTATGGAAATTAATCCTCTGAGGGGCTTGTTCGGGGTATCTTCACCCCGACTAGAAGAGCAAAGAGTTGCTCCTCAACCTATTGAACCTACTGAAAATGAAAATTTCTACTTTGAGATTCATTCGGGTATGATAGAAAAACTGCTAGCTAATCCTTTTGCAGGAGACAGAACAATGCATCCTGATGAGCACCTAATATATGTGGATGAAGTTTGTGGATTATTTAAGCTTGCAGGTGTGCCCAATGATGTTATTAAGAAGAAGTTCTTCCCTTTATCTTTGAAGGGATATGCATTGACATGCTATAGGTTATGTGATGATATGGGATCATGGAACTACAAACGATTGAAATTGGAATTTCATCAGAAGTTTTATCCTATGCATCTTGTTCATCATGATTGCAATTATATATATAATTTTTGGCCTCCCGAAGGAGAAAGCATCGCTCAAGCTTGGGGGAGACTTAAATCAATGTTATATTCATGCCCCAATCATGAGCTTCCAAGAGAAATAATTATTCAAAATTTATATGCTCGGCTTTCTGATAACAATCGCACCATGCTCGATACTTCTTGTGCTGGCTCTTTTATGATGAAGACTATTGAATTCAAATGGGATTTATTGGAAAGAATTAAGCGCAACTCTGAAGATTGTGACCTCGATGAAGGTAAGAAGTCAGGTATGACACCTAAGTTTGATTGTGTTAAATCTTTTATGGATACCGATGTTTTCCATAAATTTAGCACTAAATATGGACTTGACTCTGAAATAGTAGCTTCTTTCTGTGAATCTTTTGCTACTCATGTTGATCTCCCTAGGGAGAAGTGGTTTAAATATCATCCTCCCATCAAAGTAAAAGTAGCTGCACCTATTAAAGTTGAAGAAAAGACTGTCACTTATAATGATCCTATTGTTCCTACTACTTATGTTGAGAAACCACCTTTTCCTGTTAGGATAAAAGATCATGCTAAAGCTTCAAGTATGGTTCGTAAAAGCAATATTAGAACCTATACACCTCCTGAGCAAATTAAAGTTGAACCTAATATTGCTATTGTTAAAGATCTCTTGTCTGATAATATTGATGGGCATGTTATTCATTTTTGTGATGAGACTGCTAGAATTGCTAAACCTTGTGCTAAAGATAAACATAGACCTTTGGTAGGCATGCCTGTTATTTCTGTTAAAATAGGAGATCATTGTTATCATGGCTTGTGTGATACGGGTGCTAGTGCTAGTGCAATACCTATTGACTTATACAAAGAAATTATGCATGATATTGCACCTGCTGAGTTAGAAGATATTGATGTCACAATTAAACTTGCCAATAGAGATACTATTTCACCAATGGGAATTGTTAGAGATGTTGAAGTCTTGTGTGGGAAAACTAAATATCCCGCTGATTTTCTTGTTCTTGGTTCCCCACAAGATAGCTTTTGTCCCATTATATTTGGTAGACCCTTCTTGAACACAGTTAATGCTAAGATAGATTGCGAAAAGGATGTTGTTACTATTGGTTTAGGTGATATGTCTCATGAATTTAATTTCTCTAAATTTCGTAGACAACACCGTGAAGAGGAATTGCCTAGTAAAGATGAAATTATTGGTCTTGCTTCCATTGCTGTGCCTCCTAGTGATCCTTTAGAACAGTATTTGCTAGACCATGAAAATGATATGTTTATGAATGAAAGAAGGGAAATAGATGAAGTATTCTTTAAACAGGAACCCATCCCGAAACACAATTTGC